TTGGCAGATGCAGCACGCTGTGCCTCAGCATGTCTTTGATGCATATTTGTTCCATCATATGATGAATGACATTTTAGCAGCTGAAATCTGGCCAAGACTGTTCTTAATTGATAAGAAAAATTTATATGTATCGGTAGATGGCCGCAATTGCGGCCATAGGCCGCTAGTTCCTGTGTATTAAAATACGAGGGGCGTTCCAAAAGTTAGAGAATGGTAAGAGAACTACTGGTTCGAATGCGATGAAAATTTACGTGTATATTCCTCAACATCTCCCATAATATTCAGATTACTTTCCTTGTTGATCCACACACTTTCGCCCCCGGGAGGCCAGATAATATTTACCTTGTTTATAGAAGTCGGACTGCTGCTGTCAGAGCCAGCTTGTCGTTGAGTCCTTCAGGTCGCCTCCTTCCATGGAATGAATTCCCCGGATGTGATTTTTCTGACATCCAAATAGTCTGAGGGAGCTTGCCCTGCAGGAAAAAACCTCATGAGAATCTCAAAAGGAAACCTCATGAGAATATCATGAGGTTTTCGGACAGAGGTATCACGAGAATGAACTCATGAGGTTTTAAACAGATATCTCATGAGGTTGACTTCATGGGGTTTTCGCATAGAGGCGCCATTTGCCTGGTGGCCCAATAGCCACGAAAAGTCTCTTGGGACTCAGATTGGAAGGTTCCACGAGTCCTTAAACGAGAAGTAATCATATAGGAAATAAAATTTGCTGTTAAACAACTGTCATTAATTCCATACTCAATGCGTCATTACATCTTGTAGGCCAGAATTGTCGGAAGTCCCCCTAAACTGGGCTATCTCTTCGGACAAGTGTTTTTAGGAAATCAAATATATTTGATTATGTTCAATGTAGAAATAAAAATGCAAACAACTTGGTGAGTACAGGAGAGATGTTCCAGTGAGGTTAGGGCATTCATCCCATTTTCATTTCACTCCCTAATCGACAATCCACGTAATTACGTAGTTCGCTCGCTTAAAAATAATATTAATCGGAGCTGATTTTCATTGTTTCCCTCAACCAACCATTAAAGCGGTAGTCGTTCTGGTTCATCGTGAGTATCTGGTCAACGAGGAAGACTTCAAGAGTCCATTTCGAGGTGTATCATTTCTCGAAATTCAAGGGATCCTCGAAGGATAGGCTATTGATTTTACAATGGACATGGACCGCTTTCATCCTCGGCAGAATATTCATGCACATCCTTTACGATTTCGATCAGTTTCATCTTGATTGCGTCGTGACTATTGTTATTTCACTTTTTTGTGATATCGATCGATCCACGTATTACCCTAGACATCAGGGTATTAATCTTCATATGTATAGTGGGCCCCATTTCCTGGAAGAAAAGAGACCACTTATGTTCCCGTCCTGTCCGTCCGTGTCCATGTGTGTGTGACACACGGACACGGACGGACGTTGGTTATCCGACGATAAATACATAAAAAAATATGTTGCCCTGATCAATGAGAAAATTGTGAACTTGGTAAATATGAACAAGATACAGGTTGAGTTCATTTTGTGGTGAATTTCCACCAAAATGGGCATTTTTATTGCAAATTTTGGATTTTTAATTTGCTAACAGAGGGAAGGTAAGAGTACTCGTAAGCCCTTCAGGATATGGATCGCAATGCCCATGCGCGTACGACCTAGGGCTTGGGTGCGGCGCCGTGTCAACGACCAGAGCTGTCTGTTCCCTCTTAACCTGCGTGGCGAATGGTTGCAAGCATGCGCATCCCTCCATCCTCCCATCATTATATCATGGGCATGGAGGGTAATTTTCATACGTAAATGAAAAATGATGTTTTTGAAAGTCGAAGACCGGAAAGAGGTGGCATTTTTTCAATTAAGTCCCAAAATGCTGGTCTCCTAAAATGAAAGGATAGTTCATGCATGCAGAGAAATGAATAATGTTTTTGTTTACCTGAAGGTTGACTGATTTCGAGAACTACTCTCAGGGCCCAGAACCAATGGTTGCTCCAGGTATTGATGCTAAAGGTCCTTTTCCCTCTGGTTCTAGTTCAAATGAACATGATAGTTCCTCGAATGTTAATTGCATTGGGGAGAGTGCATGTCAACAAACGATTTATTCTTGTTTCATATGGATAACATTAAAAATTTCAATGAATTTTAAGATTAGAGCTAAGAATAGAGCCCCAGAGCTCCCGCGGAGAACTTTTGTGTCCGCGGTCCTGCATGGGCTATGTCTATGTCAGGTTTTGTGCCACGAAGACTTCTATCGTGTGTTGGGACATGTGGGACATTCGGTCACGCCGTCCTGTCTTCCGGCCTTCGTCTACGGTCTTCCGTCTACGTCCGTTGTGTGCTGTCGGGGCAGTCTCTCGTCAGTCGCCTTTGCGACACACACAGAGGGCAGACGACAAGCTGCAAAACGCTGGACATGTAGGTCCTCTCTCAGAGGTTCTAGAAAGCCACCTCAAGGTGGGACGGCCCTTTTTCTTAAGTCGCTAAGACGGTTCCTGGAATTCGCCCTCTTCATTACCTTCACCATTCTGAAGTCCTCCTCAACACCTCCAGTTAGCTACCTGTGATATATAACTTTTATTTTTAAACTTAACTGCAATTAAATACTTGTTGCTCTTGTTGTTTGAACACCGCTTTATTATTTGGTAGCAGGCATCTCCTTAGACGGCTTGTCCTGTCAGTGGAGACCGAACTCTCCTTTTTGTCTCCGACTAAAAGCTCATGGTAAATAATATTTCCCTTGCTTTTGGCATAACGATAACGTTATTAGTCCACTTTTAAGGCTCACTGCACGACGCATGCAATGAGCAGTTTTTTTCTAGTTATGCTGAAGTAGAACAGGGACATCGCCAGGAAAATAAACTACTAAATAAGACCATTGGTATAATGTAGATCCTGAGGTTTTAAGTCTTTCTCTGATTCATTCAAATTCCAGCAAGGATCACGAATCTGAGAAAGAATTTTAGCGTTTGGGCCCCATATCTATTAGCTTTTCCAAGCCGAAGCGAAAGATTTTCCTACCATTTACGATAAGGCAGCTACATCATGGTACCCCGTATTTCATAAGAATGAAAAATGAGCTAACGATTGAAATACCATTGACTAAGAAGTTTTTGGCGCAAAATCGCCTTCAAGGGGAGGAGAACACTTTATTTTCCCCACGGAGGTCATGCGAGATCTTCCTCTAGTAATTCTACTATTCACCTGGGATGACCCCCACAGCCGGCGACTTATTCGTCATCACTCTTCTTTCTTAGAAACATTGTTTATTCGAGTAATTGCCAGATGGCAGTGCTGTATCTCCATCATTTCGTAGCGCAATAATCTATATCTATAATCAAGGATCTCTGTCTCTGTCCATCTGACGCTATGCATTCGGACACCGTTGGAAATATCGACCTGAAACCTTCGCAGGAGGGTGGGGTCTGTCCAGTAGCAGGTCATAGGGGGGTCAGGGTCAGGGGGGGCGGCTCGGGGTCCCAAAAACTCGGGAACTCGGGATTCCAGGCCAGCTAGGGAGACAGAGACAACGGATTGGGGTTTTACGGGTTCCTAGAACCCGTTTGATGCAAAAAAAAGTCTGGCTGACACACCCCAACAGAAATCACTGTCAACAAATGAACAAAATTGGCTTGCTGAAAAATCAACAGAAATCACTGTCAAAAATTAAAATAATGGCCGCTAAAAAATCAATCAGAAATCAGTCAAAAATTTAAAAAAATTTGGTTCACCTTAGCTAACCAACAGTAGTAAAATTGCCTTGGCCTTTACTTACCAATTTCACTTGCATCCACAGTGAAGTTGGTAAGTTCTATAAGGCCCCCTTCAACAAAGCCAAGACACTTCATGTAGTCTACAACTAACTTCAAGAAGCCACAAGTCAAGTACTGTTTGGCCAGGGTCAGTATTTGACTCATCACTACCACACCACCCTGCCCTTTTCAGGGCTACCCTTACGAAAATATCTTATATTCCTATATATTCCTTTAGGAATATATAGGAACCCATATAGGAACCCCTATAGGGAACCCGATGGGTTCCCTATAGGACCTGTAGGGTTCGCTATAGTACCTATAGGATTCTCTATAGGACCTATAGGGTTCCCTATAGGGCTTGGCTTATACGGAGCCCTATAGGCCTATAGGGTTCCATTTGAAGTTCTCCTCTAGGCCACTAGATGGAATTATTGGTTTTTCGCATTTCTCAAAGGGCACAAAAGTGCCCTCCCCTTACCCAAGGAATCATCTCTCACAAGAGAGTTTTGTAGATCCCCAAATGTCTCGCCTTGTCTCATTGCAGCAATCAATAAACTTCGACACTTCCTTTTTTTTCATCCCCATCTTCCAGATAGAATCATGGAGTCCAGGCAAGAAATATGCCCTTATTCCTTTTGAAAACCACGTATGAGAATGCGTAGATCCTATTCAAATGGAGTTTCAGTAAAGAGACGTGCTCGCAGGTTCTGTCTTCTATTTCCTTAGGTCGAGAGAAGAATGCTACTTCTCTCTACCGAAGGAAGTAGACTTGCAATCCAGCGACATATGTTGGGCGGGGCCATAAATTAAACAGACTCGCGTAGTACTGGTATTAATAATGTAAGTGTCCATACCATGGAAAAGCACATAATCGGAAGTTGATTTCCACCAATATGCCGAGCCAATATTAATCCCGTGTCGCCTTTTCCGTCGTAATGCCTGGGTTTTCAAACCCAAAAATTCCTCCCCGAATCGTATAGGTCAGGAGACCTATAAGACCCTATAGGTATCCTATACGAAAGTCTATAGGTTGCCTATAAGAAATAACTATAGGTTTCCTATAGGACATTTCCGTAAGGGTACCCAGTGATCTATTGTGGTTTATTACAACACACTAACAATGCCGCCCAAGAAAGCCTCCAGGCTGGGGCGAAGCTCCTCCTCCCAAGCAAGGAGGAGGACAGAGACCTCTGAGGAGAGGCGCCAGCGNGACATTCGGTCACGCCGTCCTGTCTCCCGGCCTTCGTCTACGGTCTTCCGTCTACGTCCGTTGTGTGCTGTCGGGGCAGTCTCTCGTCAGTCGCCTTTCGCTGTGTGTGTCTCCCGTCTGCTGTTCGACGTTTTGCGACCTGTACATCCAGGAGAGAGTCTCCAAGATCTTTCGGTGGAGTTCCACCCTGCCGGGAAAAAGAATTCAGCGATTCTGCCAAGGACCTATTCGCCCTCTTCATTACCTTCACCACTCTGAAGTCCTCCTCAACACCTCCAGTTAGCTACTTGTGATATATAAATTTTCTTTTTAAACTTAACTGCAATTAAACTTAACTGTTGCTCTTGTTGTTTGAACACCACTTTATTATTTGGTAGCAGGCATCTCCTTAGACGGCTTGTTCTGTCAGTGGAGACTGACCTCTCCTTTTTGTCTCCGATTAAAAGCCCATGGTAAATAATATTTCCCTTGCTTTCGGCATAAAGATAACGTCATAAGTCCACTTTTAAGGCTCACTGCACGACGCATGCAATGAGCATTTTTTTCTAGTTATGCTGAAGTAGAACAGGGACATCGCCAGGAAAATAAACTACTAAATAAGACCATTGGTATAATGTAGATCCTGAGGTTTTAAGTCTTTCTCTGATTCATTCAAATTCCAGCAAGGATCACGAATCTGAGAAAGAATTTTAGCGTTTGGGCCCCATATCTATTAGCTTTTCCAAGCCGAAGCGAAAGATTTTCCTACCATTTACGATAAGGCTGCTACATCATGGTACCCCGTATTTCATGAGCATGAAAAATGAGCTAACGATTGAAATACCAATGACTAAGAAGTTTTTGACGCAAAATCGCCTTCAAGGGGAGGAGAACACTTTATTTTCCCCACGGAGGTCATGCGAGATCTTCCTCTAGTAGTTCTACTATTCACCTGGGATGACCCCCACAGACGGCGACTTATTCGTCATCACTCTTCTTTCTTAGAAACATTGTTTATTTGAGTAATTGCCAGATGGCAGTGCTGTATCTCCATCATTTCGTAGCGCAATAATCTATATCTATAATCAAGGATCTCTGTCTCTGTCCATCTGACGCTATGCATTCGGACACCGTTGGAAATATCGACCTGAAACCTTCGCAGGAGGGTGGGGTCTGTCCAGTAGCAGGTCATAGGGNGGACACCGTTGGAGATATTGACCTGAAACCTTCGCAGGAGGGTGGGGTCTGTCCAGTAGCAGGTCATAGGGGGGTCGGGGTAAGGGCGGCGGCTCCTTGGGGGTCTCGGGGTCCCAAAAAGGGTGTTCCAGGCCAGCTAGGGAGACAGAGACAACGGAGTGGGGTTTTACAGGTTCCTAGAACCCGTTTGATGCAAAAAAAAGTCTGGCTGACACACCCCGACAGAAATCACTGTCAACAAATGAACAAAATTGGCTTGCTGAAAAATGAACAGAAATCACTGGCAAAAATTACAAAGAATTTGGTTCACCTTAGCTAACTAACAGTAGTAAAATTGCCCTGGCCTTTACGTACCAATTTCACTTGCATCCACAGTGAAGTTGGTAAGTTCTATAAGGCCCCCTTCAACAAAGCCAAGACACTTCATGTAGTCTACAACTAACTTCAAGAAGCCACAAGTCAAGTACTGTCTGGCCAGGGTCAGTATTTGACTCATCACTACCACACCACCCTGCCCTTTTCAGGGCTACCCTTACGAAAATATCTTATAAGATTCCTATATATTCCTTTTGGAATATATAGGAATCCTATAGGTTCCTATAGGACCCGATGGGTTCCTTATAGGACCTGTAGGGTTCCCTATAGGCCTATAGGGTTCCATTTGAAGTTCTCCTCTAGGCCACTAGATGGAAGTATTAGGTTTTCGCATTTCTCAAAGGGCACAAAAGTGCCCTCCCCTTACCCAAGGAATCATCTCTCACAAGAGAGTTTTGTAGATCCCCAAATGTCTTGCCTTGCCTCATTGTAGCAATCAATAAACTTCGACACTTCCTTTTTTGTCATCCCCATCCAGATAGAATCATGGAGTCCAGGCAAGAAATATGCCCTTATTCCTTTTGAAAACCACGTACGAGAATGAGTAGATTCTATTCAAATGGAATTTCAGTAAAGAGACGTGCTCGCAGGTTCTGTCTATTTCCTTAGGTCGAGAGAAGAATGCTACATCTCTCTACCGAAGGAAGTAGACATGCAATCCAGCGACATATGTTGGGCGGAGCCATAAATTAAACAGACTCGCGTAGTACTGGTGTTAATAATGCAAGTGTCCCTACCATGGGAAAGCACATAATCGGAATTTGATTTCCACCAATATGCCGAGCCAATATTAATCCCGTGTCGCCTTTTCTGTCGTAATGCCTGGGTTTTCAAACCCAAAAATTCCTCCCCGAATCCTATAGGTCAGGAGACCTATAAGACCCTATAGGTATCCTATACGAAAGTCTATAGGTTGCCTATAAGAAATGACTATAGGTTTCCTATAGGACATTTCCGTAAGGGTACCCAGTGATCTACTGTGGTTTATTACAACACATTAACAATGCCGCCCAGGAAAGCCTCCAGGCTGGGGCGAAGCTCCTCCTCCCAAGCAAGGAGGAGGACAGAGACCTCTGAGGAGAGGCTCCAGCGACTTGAAGCTGACAGAGCAAGAGCTTTAACATCACAAGCAAGGGAAAGCCCTGCTGAAAGGCAATCACGCCTGGATGCAGACAGGGCAAGACAAGCGGCTGTCAGGCAAGCACAAGAGCCTGCACCAAGACAAACACGTCAAGCTGCTGACAGGGCAAGACATGCAGCTGTGCTAGCTAAACCTTGGAAAGAACTGAAAGGTGCTGCATTTCATTATGACCCAACCATCCAGTATGAGACACACTCCACAGTCAACATTGGTGGGATGACAAAGATCTGTCTTGAGTGTGGGGCCAAAAAGTGGAATGGGGAAGCAAAAGGTTTGTGCTGCAGAGATGGCAAGGTAAAACTGCCAAACCTACCTCTTCCACCAGAGCCACTGAGATGTCTGGTGCTGGGAACTCCCCAAAACTCCAAGCACTTTCTTAGCAACATCAGAAAATACAACTCCTGCTTCCAAATGACATCCTTTGGAGCAGGACACATTGAGACAGAAACTTACATGTTTGGCAAGTTCAAAGTTCAAGGTCAGGTCTACCATGACATCGGTTCCCT